TCTATGTTTTCCAATATAACAGCTTATAAAGAACAGAATTGAACTTTCAATGCTATTTTGCACTAACTACCAACGCTTGATACAGTGTCTCAATTTGAGAAAGAGCCTCATTAAGAAAGAAAAAGAAGAGATGAGATTAAAAAATATATCAAAATACGAAATAATTACGACAATCGAACAACTATTATTAAGTAAAAGTTTGTGTATGTATGTATGTTTGTTATTCCTCCACGAAAAATCGGGTGGACGAATTTGGATCATTACTCATTTCACAGATGGACTATGGGGTAACATATAGGCTAATGTTTAGCACCCGAGCGAGGTGAGAAAATTTTTAGTATAAAGATAAATCTATACATTAATTCATGTATTCAGAACTAGCGACGCGCACTCGTTTCGCTCGGGTTCGTACTAGGTATATTTGGACGCTCAATATGAAACAGAAAGACTATAATATATACATAAGTATTATGTATGAGTTTTATATCACTTACTAGAAAAATGATCGATTCCCCAGAGAAACGTCCACCCTCATAATCATCCCCTTAAGGGATGCTTTTCGGGATAAAAACTACCCTCGGTATAATCGGTTACAGACAGACAGTACGGTAGACAGAGTTACTTTCGCATTTATAATATTAGTATAGATAGTACATTAATAATAATTGATTGGTGCTTGGTGAAAAATAAAATATATGGTTTTTTATCAACTGTTTGTTTTTTTGTCTTCATTATATGTGATAAACTTAAAGCCCATTACATACACAGACGTTAACGCAGTATCTGCCATAGAGAGTGGATGGCCTTTAAAAATAAATACCGTTTATATTATTTACCTTCGTTTACCGCTTTTTAAGGATTGTAAAATTAATTTTATGTACATAATATCAAATTAAATACATCTGTTTTCATGTACTCGAGTGAGGCCAGGGTAAGTTACTAGTAAGAAAAGAAATTAATTATTAATTTGAATAATCAAATTGAAACCAACCAATTTGTATAAGAATAGACAGGTCCACAAACCAATAAGACATACCTACTAAGTATTTCGTTCGTCAGCAAGAATGCAAATGACATTATTTGACAGAATAACAAACTACAGACTCGAAGCACGGATATAGTTTGCGATATGGAAAGGGTATATATGATTGCAAATTTTATATTAGCAATACTGACAAAGAATTTTCGGGGCATGATTTAAGTCACTGGTTAGATGTACATATTATATGTATATTTGTAACTGCCTTGGTGGGTAATGGCTAGCATGTACGGCTGCACATCTGGAAGTCCTGGATTCGAGTCCCGGGTCAGGCCAAGTTTTGTTATTGAGTCTTTCTATTATGAAAGTCCCAGTAACAGCCGGGAGTTGGAAAGTTGGCGGTGTTCCAATTCCGTGCCTTGGAGATCACGTTAAGTCCTAAGTCCTACGTCTGATCTCTCACCGGTCGTATTGAATTATCGTCCCATCAGTTTGAAAGTAGCAGCAATAGAGTGCACCTGTGTCTGCGCGTACACTTGTGCACTATAATATCTCCTGCGCAGTTGGCTAGAATGAGATTGGCCGCCGTGGCCGGAATCGGTCAGGAGGGCATCATATATTTATATAAACTATTTCGTAAGCATTATAAAGAATAGAAACTGGATATACAACTAGTATTTTAATAACTTTATAGACAAAAAAACAAGATAAGATTGATTTATGTTAATAACATGAGATATGACGTTCGTTGAGTTTTCCTCAATCGTAGTTAATTTGCAAAGTTAACAACATATGTATATGACATGTAATAAAACAAAGAAAAAAACTTGTAAATAAGTCTATAAACGTGAACACGTGGTTCTGGAATAAATTTAATGTTAAAAGTGTTAATTTTAAATAATTTGTTATTGAAAACAATAAAACAAAAGAATCAATATTAAATTATAAAGTATGATATTTGATATTTTAAGTGATTTTAAAACCACAGAATTCATTTTTGATTTACGGGCGCTTTTTTCGTTTTCTTTCATTTACATTATTTTTCAATCGACTTCAAAAAGGAGGAGGTTATACATGCATGCATTTAGTCCCATTTAAATTTAAAAAAAGTACCACCCCTAAGGATGGAAAAATAACTAATGAAAATTTTATCTACTTCTAATTATCATATTGACTGGAAAATTTGCAAGTGTTTCTATTACCTATATGATTAGGTATCTATAGTAAATGAAAACTAACCATCAATTATTTTTTACTTTTTAGTGTTTTTTAAGTTTTTATTAAAACAATAATATACATTTTTGGGATATATTTTTTTATCTTTTGTTAATTTAACACAACTTTAATAACGAATCGATACATCTAAAACCATCTATTAACATTTATTTAAACATTTTTTTCTTTGTTCGTGATGGGACCACATAGAGTTACTAATGAAATAATAATTTAAAATGATGTAAAAACGCTACATCTAATATATCTATTTTTCTCATATAGTATTGTGAGTAAACCAATAATTTTTAATACTTAATATTCCAGTAACAATTTAAGTCTGTGTGCCAAAACTAATTCAGCAACACATTTACAATGTAAATCGCTTTACATAAGCCTGATATCATGTATGTCGATGTGACGCCATCTAACTACTAATCTGTTAAGTATTTTGCATAGAATATTTATAATATCTATTAAAATATCAGCATCTATACATATAATAAAATAGTAATAGATCGAAATGTGTCTGTACATGAAATAATTTATCAAAAAGAATGACTGTAACCTTATTGTGTATAGAATGCAGGCCCCAAAACAATGATAATTGAAATTTTTGTCTGTTTGTCTACATGATGATACATCAAAATGAATGAATAAATGTATGTATGTATATATGTGGTATGTATGTATATATTTGTTTGTATCACTATCTAAGACATTGACTCATTCTATCACTCTTTAAGATTGTTTGCACCCCTTCCTTCTCTCTTCTTTCTCTCTACCCAAAGGTTGCCTAGAATAGATCGCTCTCTAGCGATAAGGCCGCCTATTGTACTATATTCCTTTAATCTGTTTCAACTATATAATGTAAAATAATGGTGTGCAATAAAGAATATTTCATTCATTCATTTCATTCATTCATTCAAAATAATGTAGTGAAACATTGTAGGTCTAAAAAAACCTATAGAAAATTCGATAGTATATGCTATCTCCTAAGGTCGTAATAACTATTTTTATCTATTTAAAACGTACCTGGAGACGCACCCGAGCGAAGCGAGTGTTAGTTGATAGTTGTATGTACATATGTATATAAGAAAACACATTTTTGTAACTTATCGCGTTGACAATGGAGTGACAGCAAGATTACACTGACTCTTTTTTTCTATTTCAGTATGATCTCTAATACTCGTATACGCAATGTATGTAATTTAAAAAACTATTACCTATATTATGGTTGTAAACAGCATTGTAATCATAATTGTTTTATTACTTACTAGCGACTTACCCTCGCTCAGCTCGGGTTCGTCCCTATAACTTATGTTTTAAGGTTTAGCATAGATTTGTCTAAGATGAGATATTTTCCCGCTGTAAAAAGTATCGTATATGTATGTTGACCCGGATAACCAGCTATCATCATACCAAATTTCATCAAAATCCCTCCAGTTGTTTTTCTGTGATGCGGTAATAATTAATGCGGCAATGCTAGTATAATATTATAATTGTACATTCCAATATCTGAATCTAGATGAAATCGATCTTTCATATACATGAAGCCAATCCTCTACAAGAAATTGCTATAAAAAGCTAAAAGAACAGACAGAAGAAACGAACCCATATACATATACAAACATATTAGATTAAGATATTGATCTAGCAAAAATTAGCAGCACGTAATTATTATTACGCATCTCAGTACCTAACTTCAGTTCCATATTAGATAAGGCTGCGTGGGAAGACTAAACGCTTTCACCCAGCGTATTCGCAATTTTTTGCGTGCCTTTAGAACAATTGAAGATACACCCCTGACAATTAAAGTGCATAGACAATTCGCTCGTATAAATTCTACTCTTATACTGAAAGTAATTAGGATGAAAGTCGCATTTCATAATTAAAAAATGAATCGTTACTGTTACTGAACAAGCTGTATAAAAACGTCTGCTTCTTTTGCATAGTTTCGCTTTTCTCTATTGATGGGATATGGGTGAACTATGAAGCATGGGAAAATAGGTTTCAAATACCATCTAAAGTGAAATTACTTTTTCATCTTTTCTAGTCTGTATGTAATAAAAATATGTGAAGCAAACTTAAAGATTTGTCTTTGGAGAAACGCTGTGATAGTATTCTTTGCTTGAAACTTCCATGCAATAACAAAGAGGTTTTTTTTATTACTTGTATAAAACTTAACTATATGTTTAAATATATGTTTATCTAATTAAGCATGTGTTGGTAAGCGCAAAACTCGAACACGGTTGCACCAATTTAACTAATTTTTTTTTCAAATATTCGTTGAAGTCCTACAAAAATTACATTTTTCTTTTTCGTTACTACTACTTACTTTATAATTATGCGTTCAACAAACTACTTGAATGCATTTATAGATTTGACACTTTCTCTTTCTACGCTGTACAGTTTAACTTTGACTTTGTTTGTTTGTTTGTTTGTCCTTCTTTCACGTCGAAATAGAGTGACGGATTGACGTGATTTATTATGTGGAGATACCTAGTTGGAGGGCTAGATAATGACAAAGGCTACTTTATACCGCAGGAGATTCTCTCATTCCCACGGGAAAACACGTTATAATACAACCCACAACTCATTATATCTATGTATATAGGTATATAATATAGTCTATCTATTCCATGCCATCCGTTAAATTGTACCTAGGGATAAACAAAGGCGAAGCGAGAATGATTCGCTAGTTTATAGGTAATAAAGACAGTTAAAGATCCGAAAGTGACATGGGCTAATTATAATTTCTATCCTTTCGTTTCGTTACGGTTTTGGGATAATGAAAAAGTCAACTTACCGATTTCATCTCTTCGTAGTCAATTCCATGTGGTTGTGATTCATTGGTCAACACCCGCCACATCTTCAGTCCATCTCTCTTCACCAGACCCTCCTGTTTTCTTAACACCAGCTTGAGCTGCTTCCCAAAAGCTTCCAACTCGATCTTATGAACATCATCTTCCTGATCTTCCGCTGCATTTTCCCTATCACCTTCACTTACACTATCACTAGAACTTGACACGTCAAATTGCAAATTCACTTTATTATTTAAATCACCGACAATATCAACATCCTTAACGTATTCCTTAGCTTTGACGAACATTTCATCTTTAAGGAGAGATAGTACTGGTTTGCTTTTTGAGATCTTTTCATGGGGAATTTTCCCGCTTGTCGTTGAATGGGTGTTTGATGGGTGTGAGGTGGCAATGTTCCGCCTAGACAGATGGTGGGTGAGGTGTACTACGTGGTATTTTGGTATTTGGCTGTGATGGTCTACATGAAAGACACTCCGAACTTCGTCTGATGTCATGTGCTCGTGAACCTGCAACAAGATAAAATAAAATATTAGGTAAAAATAAAAATATAACAACTTATTCATGTACCTATTTTGAATAGTAGTTAATCGTTGGTGCTTGGTGAAAAATAAAACATGGACTTTCATAAGCTGTTGACATAATATACTTTATTTATTATAAATGGGAATTGAGAATTTAAATTTTAACTTGTCATTAAAATTCATGCGGTCAACTTTAGGCGCATTACGTACGCAACGTTAAATCAAAACCAGCCATAGAGAATGGATGGCCTTTAAAAATAAAGACCTTATATATTATTTACCTCTGTTTACCACTTTTTAAGTATTCTAAACTAGTTTAATGTAATATCAAGTTATTAAATACATCCGTTTCCATATGATATGGTCGAAAGTCATCGGTGGACTCGAAAACCTTGGTCGCGGTCAACAGTACCCCCTAGCAGTGGTTTTTAACCTCTCACTTTATCTTTCATGAATAATTGAATGTACTACAACGAATATTTTTGTGATTTTTTGTAGTAAATATTGTCGCCAAAGCTTTAAATGTCATAAGATTAAATAAAAAAATGCGCAAGTCATAAGATTAAAACAAGTATGTATATTGGTATGTTTCATAAGATTAAAAATGTATATTCAAAATAGGTTTTAGAGCGTGTTTGTACTTCTTTATGCTGTAACGCTTCAAAGTATTTTAACTTTTGAATATCAATTACCTACTTAGACTATAGATTTGCGTAAAATGCACACAGATATATAGACAAACAGACAAAAATTTCAACAACCATTGTTTTTGGGTTTGTGTTCTGTAGACAACAGGTAATAATAATGATTTTAAAAAAATATATTATGTACAGGTTTCGCTTGGTTACTATTTTATTATATGTACCTATAGATGTAAAAACCTAATCTAATTATGAAAATAATTTCCCTAATAAATTGATTATACATAAACTAAATTATTTTTATGTGTGTCTTTTCATCTTGGTACATATGTATGTATATCAAGAGAATCCCGTAAGAAAGAAATATAAGTTGGAGATAATATAACGTACTGACGTTACACTCTTATCACTGGATTTGAACGTATTTTGTCGAACTATTTCATTTTATGCCCATGAATTTGAAAACGATATCGTTTATGGAAAACTAAGCAATATATGGAGATGACATATTGATAATTATTTATTTTTTATTAGTCATTATAATAAATATATCTTTTTAACCCCCGACGCAAAAAGTGGGGTGTTATAAGTTTAACGTGTGTACCTGTGTGTCTGTCTATGACCTTGTAGTTCCCAAACGGATAAACTGATATTAATTTAGTTTATTTTGTTTGAAAGGTGAGTTGATCGAGAGTGTTCTTAGCTATAAATCAAGAAAATCCATTCAGCCGTTAGCATTATCAGCTCTTTTCTAGAGAGTAAAAGGATATGAGTAACTTCCACAGATCTAATCGATCCGAAACTTAACATCCCGTTACTTCAACAGCATCACAACGATAGAGTAACCTTGGCCTGATGCTGCAGTGTCTGAAATCTACAAGATACTTAACTCTTTACAAAAATACTGCATAGATATCATGTTTAGACTCATTAAAATGGCCACTTTGAATATGTAATTGTGTTGGAAGTGTTTTTTTTAATTTTTAATTTAATTTCTTGTCGTAATAGTGATTTTTTTCATAAAATGTCATCTTGTCTGCACCACCTAGTTGCTAATAGGTACAAAGATGATAGATCTGATTCTGGGTCACCTTTACCTTACGTATAAAATGTTAAAAAAAAACATCTTGTCGATCATCATTGACATTCCTTGGAGCGGAAGTATGTAAGGATGACAAGTTTTATAGATCAACAGGAATTCAATAACGTAACAATATTATATACTCGCATACACATTCTAATAAAGTCACTAATGTGATATTAATAAGTTACATATTAGCTTGCATATATTTATGTCACCTTACAATTGATCTAATAATGTAACGATATAGTAAATATTGTTTATGGGATTAAGACTCTTAGCACATTAGAATAATGGCTAAAAATGCATATTTTTTTTTTATTTGTGTTACAGATATAGTGTAAGTCGATGGCCTCGATACATGATCCAGTTATTATGTAATGAACAAGTTTTTGTAGGCTTGAAGAAAGCCACTTCACTTTTGTGGGTCGTGTATGTATTGTCATTTCCTGATTTATTTATTTTTATTTTATTTATTGAGATTAAGGCATACGATGAATATAAAGTTTATAGATAAGATATCTATACATATAATAAAATTGTAGCTAAGCCGAATCTGTACATTAAATATTTATTTGGAAAATCTGATTGCAATAGATATTATTATCGATACAGAGACAAAAATTCTGAAAACTATAGATTCGGATCTATAGTTTTTAGAATTTTTGTCTGTTTGTCTGTCTGTCTGTTGCCGCATCACGCAAAAACCACTGGAGGGATTTTGATGAAACTTGGTATGGTGATAGGTGTTTATCCGGGTCTACATATAGGATACTTTTTACCGCGGGAAAATATCTCATTTCTGAGAAAAAATGCAAAAACTGCATTGTAAGATTAGACTAATATGGAAAACCTAAGAATTTGCTTTTGGTCATCTGAACGCGGGCGGAGCCGCGGGCAATGCTAGTTAGTAATAAGTTTGAGCCAGATTAAATTTAGATCGAGGTGAATAGCAGATACATTCTTAAAGGTAACATAATATATTGTTTTATTAGTTTATTATGTCGTGTCTGGTCAATTTCGTATTAAAACTTATTAAGTTTGCACTTACATAAAAAGGAATAGCAAGAAGTAAAATATATACCATCGTATGATACAATTTTAAGTTGGCACTTCAAAAGTGCAGCACATGCCTTATTTTAAAGTGTTAGAGTAAAAAAAATGTATAATTTTTCTATTAAAGTTGCCTATTAATTACGCGATTTAGTGTGCAAATAGAATAATTTTTTAATTCCGTGATTAAGATTTGATAATATGTGCAAACAGCACAGTATAAACATATAATACAGAAACTTTTGTATATACTGTAACTTTTTTTAATTATTTCCTTATTATCTTGCACTTTTCTGCTCCGCTAATCTATACTAATATTATAAAGAGAGTTTGTTTGTTCGTTCGTTTATTTGTTTGTTTGTTTTTTTGTTTAAACGCGCTAATCTTAGGAACTACTAATCCCGTCTCTACTAAAAGATATCCCGTTTATTGAGGAAGGCTACAGGCTATATATCTTCGTACTACTACACAAGTAAGCGGAGCAGTAATATAATACATAGTGTATCTATTCCATACTAACCGTTAAAACGTATCAAGGGACGAACCCGAGCGAAGCGAGGGTGAGCCGCTAGTATAGTATATTTTATTTTTTATGTGCATAAGAGGATATATAAAACTAGTATAAATATTAAATACAGACTTATATAATATTTACAATATTTTTTTTAAGATTTTTATCACCCGCATCTTCTGCGTACGCTATGTAAATGATTAAATGCTAGCAAATATCGGAAGGAATTAATGTAAATTATATGAGCAATTATGATAGGAAGTTGACTGAGAGACTGACCTTTGCCCTTTGTAAATTGTGTAGCACGATTTTAGTGCATTCAGCGCAGGTCACTTGCCTACCTCTTGCTTGTTTTACTAATCATTAATCATGAATCTATGTATGTATATATATATATATATATATATATATATATATATATATATATATATCCTTGTTTTTTTTGTTAAGTGTAGCTATTGACGTGCTTTAGTGTCATTAATAAAAAAAAATTGGATACAATTTTTTATATGCATAGGTAAATCCTCTTCATATTTTTTCCTCAAATTTTCAATAATGATTAATCAATAATGCTTAGCAAACACTAAACATTTATTATTAAGCATATTAAGACGTGTAATTCAAATAAAAAAAAATAGTGCAGATGGTTAAAAACGTTTCTTGGGGACTCCTTGGTATATATAAAGAGTGCTTTACTTAATTAACAGTTTTTAGATATTTTCGATCTTTGTACTACACTACTCGGCTTAACGGATTTCAATGGTACTTTTGAATAGTACTACATGTAAAAACTATTTTAAACTATTTTATTTGAATTAAACATGGCTAAATCGGTCAAGTAGCCGATAACATATTTTGAATACCATGTTTAGTCATAATAAAGAGATATAAATATACAAAACCGAAGTCGATAGTAGTTCGTTAAATATCGATTTTAGTGCTGTACTGCGTCTTACTGACTCTGTTCACTTGGTAAACATGCACAAACACACAACTCGTGGTCGTAGATTCGAAGTAGGCGGTGAATGATTGTACTGATCATAATAATGTATATATGTGCTTTAATAATAATTTGTTACATTAAAATAATGCATAGCGGAAAATGGAGACAGATGATATATTATTTTCTATTAAAAAAACTTGAAGCTATTTCAATACTTAAAAATTATTTACAGGTGATTTCTAACAAGATGTGCGGTTTCATAATAACGCAATGTCGTGTGTTCAATCTGAATGCCTAAAATTCATTAATAAGAAAATTGAACATCATATGATAGATGTTTGATATGTTAAACTCAGACTCAATTTCATGAATTATATTCTAATAATGCAACCTTCTCTCCTCCTCCCTAATGCTACTGGGATCAAGTCATATTCCATTACGCTGGCCAAGTGCAGTATTTCTGATGTCACATATCCTTTAAAAACTGATTATGTTCAATATTATATTAAAATAATTTTATAAAAGTATTTTTTTATAATTTATAATATTTACAGCATTGAAATCTCTTTATCACTTCTCAGCACGACAATCTTTGCTTAATTCCTAAGCTTTCTACACACGACCTTCCTTTCGTGACTCATTTCAAACTAAACTAAGGCATGCCTACTTGTTCCGAGTCACGCAACATTTTGAATTCCACACTAATCCTAAATAGAATTCAATTGTTTTGTATTTTATTTGCCTAATGTTATTTTA